TGCAGGGGCCCAAGAACTTGGGCCATCTTCTACTGCTCTCCCAGGCTATAGCAGAGAGCTGGATCAGAAGTGGAGCAGCTGGGACTCGAATCGGTGCCGTATGGGATGCCAGCGCAACAGCCTGGGGCTTTAACCCACTGTGCCACAGTGCCGGCCCCATCTCTTATCATCTTAACATCCTCTGCCTTACTGACTTTCCAAGTCTTTGCCCAAAGCTTTAGATAAATTATAAAATGTCTGTTTATGTGTAAATTGTTTTAACTATGGCTATGGATTGGTGTCCTATATGCTGGAGCAGACATAAAATGTATGACAAAAACACAGAATTAAGGATTCTGTTATAGGACTGATGATATTTTTTACAGTACAAGAAAACAGAATCTTAAGAATAAAGGGTAAGTTTGAGGGCTTTTTTTTCTTTTGTTAATTATAAACATTTATGATACACAGTTCATGGGAAATATAAAGTACTTGGGAAAGCAATTGATGGTGGCCCAAGCACCAGGGCCCCTGCCAACATTGTAGGAGACCCAGATGGAGTTCTTGACTCCTGGTTAGGGCTGGCTCAATCCTGGATTCTGTGGCCATCTGGGGTGTAAAGCAGTAGATGGAAGATCTTGTCTGCTCTCTTTCTCTCTGTGTCTGTCACTTTTCCTTTTAAATAAATAAGTAAGTAAGTTTTATAAAATTCATAGAAAAATGGCATATTTTGATGCGAATTATTTAAAATTCATGCATAATTTTTCCATAATACAATTTCCATGAGCTATCTTAACACCTTTCAATAGGCATCATTTCATTTTCTTTAAAATAACTGAATTTACAGTTAAAAAATGAAATTCAAAGAGTTTTGATCACTAACCAGCTAACATGTATGGAGCCAGATGCAAAGCCTTGACTGGCTTGCTTACTCCAAGGCCAGGCTCTAATTTCTCACTTAGCAAAAAGAACAATAATAGCAAATATTGTATAAATTTATTGGTGACCAACTTCCAACTGAGATTAAAATTACAGTTTTGCCAAGGTTGTACATAGAGAAATTTTGGCTCAGGCCCTTATGTGTTTCCCCCTCAATTTGTAAGAGAGCCTGCCTAAACCCATAGAAGTGACTTCACTAAACTTCTGCATCCCAACCACCAGCCAAGTGTCTTGCCTTGTACAAACAGTAACAGTTGCCTCATTTCTGAATTCTTATTCCGCAGAGACCCTTTGGAATGATACTGAGTCGGATACTGCACTTGGCTTTTTATTTCTCATTGGGGGCCTGGATGTTATACATGGGGTTATCTTTGTCAGTGTAATGGTTTAAGACCTGCTGTTTTTGTCTTAGGATCCAGGATTTCAGCCCTGATACACTAGCTTGGACTCTCACTGTTCCAGAAGGGGAATTTGAACAGATTTTAAACTAAACACAAATGTGGGTGTTTATTTTTTATTAAGTGAAAGTGTTATTTTTCTGTCTAAATGACAACAGTAATCTTTTGTGGCTGACTTTTTTTGAGATTTATTTATATATATATATATATATATTTAACTTTTATTTAATGAATATAAATTTCCAAAGTACAGCTTGTGGATTACAATGGCTTCCCCCCATAACGTCCCTCCCACCCGCAACCCTCCCCTTTCTCACTCCCTCTCCCCTTCCATTCACATCAAGATTCATTTTCAATTCTCTTTATATACAGAAGATCAGTTTAGCATACATTAAGTAAAGATTTCAACAGTTTGCTCCCACACAGAAGCATAAAGTGAAAAATACTGTTTGAGTACTAGTTATAGCATTAAATCTCAATGTAAAGCACACTAAGGACAAAGATCCTAGATGAAAGGCCGAGTTACAGTGGCAGGGAGAGAGAGAGAGAGAGGAGAGAGAAGTCTTCCATTTACTGGTTCACTCCTGAAATGGCCACAAGGCCAGAGCTGGGCCAATCCAGAGTCAGGAGACGTGAGCTTCTTCCAGGTCTCCCACATTGGGGTAGGGGCCCAAGGGCCTGGTCCATCTTCTACTACTTTCCCAGGCCATAGCAGAGAGCTGGACCAGAAGTACAGCAACCAGGATTTGAACCAGTGCCCATGTGGGATGCCAGCACTGCAGTTGGCGGCTTTACCCGCTATACTACAGCACCGGCCCTGTGGCTGACATGTTTTTATGATAACAACTGAGACTTGCTGGAATCAGCAACTCGGCATCAAGTGCAGGCATGACTATGCAGTAGGAAAGCAGTGTGTGGTGTTGGAACAAGTAGTGAACCAGCATCAAGAACCCACCGTTCGTACCCAGGTTCTGGATTTGCCTCCAACTTCCTATGATGCTGGGAACAGTTTCACTATCATGGGCTTCAGTTACACTGTCAGATTGAACAGTCACTAAACAGTTTTATATTTTTCTCCAAATTTACATGTTTTCCTACCATGTATTCATAACAATTGTTATCACTATCTACATATATGATAATATGCCTATATTCAGAATTAAACCTATTTCCCTGCCCATATATTTTCCCAGCTCCTATATAATATCTGAAATCTTATGTTTAGATTGTATTACTTAACTTTCAAGAGCCCCTTAGCATTAGGGATAATACCATGTTTATGAGAATTAGGCTAGACATGGAAAAAATCAGAAGCTTTGAGATGATTATCTCTGATTAGTTTGTTTTTAAAAGAAAACTAATAAACCTGAACAATTCACATTTTCTAAATATTTTATCCTAGCCTCTGAATAAAAATAGATATTAAACTTATGTTATACATCAAATCAGATTCACTTTGATCCCTGTCCTTGGGATTGACCAAACTCTGTCCCAGTGATATTGAGACAAGACCATACAAGACATGTTTCCAGTACACAGGTCCATCATTCAAACCTGTGATTCAAGACAAGAAATATGCAATGGATTCATTCTCTTCCTTCACCTTCTTGAATAAATGTTTTTCTCCAATTCTTTCTTTTTATTGAACTATAATTTGCATGCCATGAAATTAATATTTTAAAATGAATGTCCTGGCAGATTTTAGTGTATTCATAAAGCTGTGCATATTGATATCATCTAGTTCCAGAACATCTTCATCTCTTTGAGAAAGTGCTCTTTCCTCATTCCTCAGCCTCCTTACAACTAGATTGGACCCTTAAATTTATTATTCCAGACCTTTCATAGAAATGGAATGCTAGTACATGTAGCCTTTTGTGTCTAGCTTTTTTCATCTAGGATAATGTATTTGAGGTTCATTCATGTTGTCAAATTCACTAATACTCCAGTCCTTTTTATGGCCAAATAAAATTATATGGTATTAATATACCAAATTTTATTTATTGATTGATATTTGGGTTGTTTCCACATTGTAAATAATGCATCTATGGAAAAATTGTGGGCAAGTTTTTGTGTGGATATATTTTCATTTTATATATATATATATATATATAATTTATATAAAGTAGTCATGGTTTATAATGTGGTAACAGTATGTTTAACCTTTGAGGGACTGCTATTTTCATTTACATTTCCATCCACAATGTGTAAGAACTGACAGCTTCTTCACCTCTTCACCAACACTTTTTATTGTCCTTTTTATTTTTTATTATAGCCATCATTGTGACTGTAAAGTACTATTTCATAGTCATTTGTTTTTCTGATTCTTAAGCCAGTTGCTTTACCTAGAACTGAGAGTACTCTAATCAATCATATTATAGTATCAATATAAAATGATAGTAATTTATTTTCATTATTAATACTATTATTATTTCAAAGTCTACCACCATCCTTCCTTATAGATTTTCTCAGTCTCATTTTTTGGTCTGTAATATTAGAACCATTTAAAATCATAAGTCCTGTAATCAGTGTTTTTTAACACTGAAGGTTTTTCGTAGTCTCTCATCTGCTCATCACATGGCTTTCTGTGAATGAAGACAAGAAATGAGTCTGGGGGTATCACCAACAAAGACATGACTTCAACCAGTTGTATCCCTATGTGTTACTCATCATTAAATTAGTTCAGGGCATACCTGCATTAAATTATGGGGGCTTCATACTAAACTTTTCCTAGTACTTAGTGAAGCAGACAGTGAGTACTGTGACTGTGTTTGACGTGGAGCATCTGTATTTACTTGTAGCTGCAGAAGATGCTGTCACATTCCTTTTTACTCTGATTATTTCAAAAGGGGAGAAATTTCTTCTTCCCATGAAATATGTTTTGTTCATTTGACATGATAGTATATGACTTTATTGTATTGATTATTAAATCCCTCACTGTAAGTCACTGAATAGGACTCGGGCGCAAAAGTGAGCACTTGAGAAGGAGTAAATGTGGGCTCTGGCATCGACTCTGAATTAACCATACAACCTTTGGTTTTCTCACTCAACAAATGATGGAGTTGAAGTAGCAGATCTTAAGGTCCCTTCTTGCCAAAACTCTCATTCTGTATTTCACTGAGGCTTCTTAATTGTAACAGTAATATTTTTACCACATATGGCTTATTCATTTGCTGAGATTTGGACTAATATTTTAGAGAAATTAAAGGGAAAGTACTGGTATTCGTCAAGGTGCTAGGAGACTGGTAGTATGTTTCTGGAACAGACTTTTTCTGTGTAATAGCTTTTTATAGAAACAATGTCATGCCTGGAAATCTATGTGGTGATCTTGTGTTTGCTGTGCTTGTTTTGATTTTTATTCCCAGGGAGAAATTCTAGTACCTTATTTACATGTCGCAGGTCAGTAAAATTAGGAATGGCCAATTGGTTTAATTTATAAACATTAGTTTGGACTTGGCCACAGCATAGAATGAGTGACTCAAACCTATGTTCTTTGCAGTATTTGTTTAGAAAGGAAATCCTATTTCTTGATTTTGTATAATGAATTTTTACATCAAATGTTGATAAAATCATATATCTTTGCCCCTCATTTGTTTTTAACAAACTCATTGGACATAAAGAGTTCCTGGTACACTCTTAAATCTATTTTTTCTTTTTTGTGTTTCTTTTTTAAAACTTTCTTTGCAGGATGTTTTCACTCCAGAATGCAAATTTAAAGAATCTGTTTTTGAAAACTACTATGTGATATATTCTTCCACACTGTACCGTCAGCAAGAATCTGGCCGAGCTTGGTTTCTGGGACTCAATAAAGAAGGACAGATTATGAAGGGGAACAGAGTGAAGAAAACCAAGCCCTCATCACATTTTGTACCAAAACCTATTGAAGGTATGAAAACAGCTTCTTTGCTTTTTTGGACCTTGATCTTTGTGTGACCTAATGCTGTTACTTGTATCTTTGTTCCATAGGATTTGTCTGGAATGCAACAACCAGAACAGAAATTTAGAAAACATGATATTTCTTTGCATCTGAAAACAAAGAATGATATTCTATTACAGTATTCAAGATTAGAATAATATTCTTGAATATGAAAGCTGAAAGATTCCTAAAAGTAGAAAACTAGTGGTCCTTACCATTTGGAGTGTCATTTCCTTTTTCTTGAAAACAATTTAATTTCTCAGGATACACCCTTGAAAAATAAGTAACACTGCAGTGTTTGAAAGTCTGCAAAAGCTTTTAGATGTATATTGCATACCACTTTCTTCAGTTTGTCACCAAATTTAACATTATAATGCATCATTTTTTCTATTATTAAAGGAAAGAAAATAATATACTGCTTTTTGTAATCCATAAATATTCATAGCATTAATATTATCCCTCTCAGTTGAGCCTGTAGCCTCCTCTCATTTGATTATTTAATGGTATTCACTTATTTCAAATTGAGCAATGGAAAAAACAATTTTATGCTAAGGAGACTCAATTTCACAACTAGGTTGTGTTTCCCCAAAAGTTGCTTAACTGAGATGCATATATCATATGAGTGACCGCATCCAGTGAATTCCTTCTCTCTTCCTAGTATAGGCTGAGTAAGAGCTAGTGGTCTAAGTATTCACATAATATATTTTCTCCTCTGAAGGTTATAGTATCATCATTTAAAACATTGTTTCAACCTCTTTTTATGAGGAAATGGGAAAGATGGAAGAGGAGCCTTGTGATCTGTGACCTAGTCAGTGTCCCCTAAATATTTCAGAAGTTGTAGTCTGTCATCCGGGGTTCACACCACCTGTTACAGAGTATATAGTACCTATTACTAGTAGCCAGCAGATATTTGTTAAGTCCATACTACATTCCAATCACCTGGTAAAATGAGGAATTCACAGCTTCTAGTTCCTGTCAAACCTCTGAGTTCTTTGTGTCTTTTTTTTTTTTTTGAGTTATTTTATACATTTGAAAGGCAGAGTTGAGAAAGAGAGAGAGAGAGACAGAAAGAGAGACTCTTCCATCTGCTTGTTCACTCCTCAAATGGCCACTACAGCCAGAGCTGGACCAGGCCAAAGCCAGGAGACAGTAGCTTCTTCTGGATCTCCTACATGGGTTCAGGGGCCCAAAGACTTGGGCATCCTCAGCTGCTTTACCAGGTGCATTAGCCGGTAGCTGGTTTGGAAGTGGATCGGTTGGGATTCTAAGCAGCTCTCATATGGAATGCCAGCGCTGCAGGTGCTGGCTTAACCCATTACGCTACAATGCCAGACCCTCCCTGCATCTGTAGCCAAACAAAATGTATCTTCCCTTTCCTGCAGTATATTTTCACATTGTAGGCCTCCTCTTGTCTATCCTTCCACCCCAGTTTCCATTCACTCATTTCATCTTCCTGGAGAAAAACCTATTGGTCTTTGTAAATTTTAATTCGAATCACTTCTTCTGTGACAGCATCCCTGACTTTTTAAAAAGTTTCCTTCTTTATTTATTTGAAAAGTGGTGAGTGGAGAGAGAGAGCATTTTCTCCATCCACTAATCCATCCACTAATGTAACAGCCACGAATGGGTCAGGTCCAGGCCCAAAGTCAGGAACTCCATCTGTGTCTCCCATGTGGGTGGCAGGAACTCAAGTACTTGGGCCATCACATGCAGCCTCCCAGGCACATTAGCAGGAACCTGAATTGAAACAGAGTTGCTTCTCCATGCTAGATACTCTGATATATCATGTGGGCATAATAAGCAGTAGCTTAACTCACTGAGGAGTTTATCAGCTTAGAGTGCTCTCTCTCCTTCCCACTGTCCCTTTCAACTAAATTTAAGAGAATAATAATAAGTGGTCAGATTCATTCAAAATTAAGTGAGGAATAGGGAATAAAACACAACACTTTTGGTGCAATGTGAGTAAAGGCAGGAAAGTGCCTGTATTTTTTTTTTTTTAAAGATGAAGTAGAAGGTACATATGTAGTTAATATTTTCATGGGATTTATACTAATTTTCACAAGTGATGTTTTTGACAAATTATATTTTCAACTATTGTGTAATTTTTATGTGTGCATCGAAGTTGATTTCTTAGTATAAACGTAGTACATAGCCATTAATAACTTTTGGAACATTCAGGTAAGTATACAGGAAAGGGAAAATACCTACATGCTTTGTTTATTTCTTTTATGAGTGATAATTACATACTGAATTTCTTCCTCCATCCCCCACTACCAGCAAACAAAATCCGAACACCTGTAACCTACCTCCTAATTATAGCTGCTGGTTGCACTTTGATGAGTCAGTTGTCCTCTCGGGGCTATATGATTGTGTACAGATTTCCAAGAGAAGGCTGTAGAATGACTGGTGATAGTTCCAGAGCTCCTTTACTTATGAATCTATTTCTGCATTTCAGGACAAATGTGGAAAGAGACACCTAGACATTAATAACTGCATATATTAAAATTAGGTTTAGCCTTGCACATATAAAATTCATGGTAACAACAGCTTAATCATAACAAAGATATTTTCCTCCCACAAACCAAATCTAGAGACCAGCTAGCCAGGTACTTTGGCTTCTCAATTGTTAGGAACCTTGGCTATATCTAGCCTTTAGTGTGTCTTTCCATAATGCATTACTATGATCCCAGCACTATGCACACCATGTTACTTTTTATTTTATAGATCAGGAAACTAATACTTTAAATTATTAAGTAACTTGTCCAAGATCACAAGCTCAATAAATACAGATCTGGAATTGCAATACAGAAAACCTAATACAGTGTCCATGCACCTGACATCTGCACTATACAGCCCCTCAATCCGAGGTAAACCCATGAGTATACACATCACATCAATGATGGCAAAGTAGACATGGTATACCGTGACACAAATTGAATAATAAACTAGCTCACATTATGCAGAATTGAGACAAGCATACATGGCATGTTGAAGAAAATGCACTATTGGTAAATGAACAGATAGGACAGTTAATAGAATGCCATGTTCAGGTTAGGAAATGAGGAATTAAGAATGCATTGCTTCTTTTTGGATGAATTCTAACAGGCTTCATTTCCTAATGTGTAAAAGAATTTGGACCAGATTATTCCTGAAGTGCTTTGGCAACCACACTGCAAGGCAGTCTTTGTAAGTATGGAAAAACTACACTCCTTCATGGAAACTAGTATAGGATGTACATATAAAAATAATCACGTTTTTATTATTGAATGAATGAAGTATAATTTTATGACTGTTTCCATAATCAGTTATTTGTAGTGGGTATGTGAATTTGTTTGTTTAGAAGAGGGACCAGAATGAAAAAAAATCTAGCCATAATCTATATCTTCAAATTTTGATGGTGTGTTTCCATAAGGCAAGTACAAATACCTGTAAGTGGAAGATGCAGTTAGAAAAGAAATAGGAAACAATAGCTCATTAGGAGATTTTCCATATTGCTATTTAACCAAAGTGATTGTCAAGCATGTTATTTTTAGCTTTCTAAGAAATTTTTGTAAACCTATTAGCCTACTATTAATAATTTTACCACCTCCTGAGAGTCCAGTACTGTGTGAGACATGAGCATTTCCCTTGTGAAGGGAAATGTCCTTTTATAGGACATTTAATAGAAGTCAGAGTAGGATTTTTTAGTTTTTTTTGTTTGTTTTACTTTTTCAAGTATCTCTACCTTTATCCCAGTTCTGCTGATGATTTCATTTTGAAGGATAAGCTTCCCCAAATTGAACTGCAGAAGTTCAAAGGTCATTTGATTACCGGATGATATCTGCCAGTCCCTTCCCTTGCATTCCTTCACCCCTCAGCCTATGCTTAGAACACGGGAGGTGGTAATGAGGGGTTGCAAGAGCATGTACTCAGACAGTTTGGTAGACTTGATATTGAAGCCTATTACTGTGTACATTGCACATCCACCTCTTCTTATGCGGGTCTTCTCCCTTGGAATTTAAGACAGTAAAAAAGACTTCATGATTTCCAATGCTGTCCTTTCAAAGCATTGCTCACGGTACAGATAGTAACTCCCCAGATTTAAATTGTCTTGGTAAAGACCTCCATCTTTATTTTCAGATACAGCGACCATATATCTTTTGACAGAGAACAAGATATAATGCATTCCTTTTCTCCTCTCTCATCCTCCATGAAGTTCATTGCTCAGCTTTTGAGGGTGGAGGGATATTCAAAATCTCATGTCTTTCCACTGGAAGGAATGTGTGCAGTTTTCAAAGTCTTAAACTTTAAAGGCAGAACCCTTGGGAAAGAAAGATGTTTCCAAATAATATCATTGAGTGTCAGTTGAGAGCCACATCTACCTAAGAAATAAACTGTAAATAAAGGAAATATTAACTCATTTCCACCAACTGATATATTTCGTGAGATTATAAAACATCCAGTGCACACACATACACACACACACACACCCTGGAGGGCAGTTAAATGTTATATATTTTCACTGTTAGAACTATTGCTTTAAGCTGACAAAACTGTATTTAAGTCCCAGCAGAATAATGTAGAACACTGTTTTCCAAACACCAGTATCAGAACCATCTGAGTGTTCTTAAAGCTAAAATTCTCAGACCAAATCTCCAAAGTAAGCTGATTTATTAAATCAGGATATGACCTAGGAACCTACAGATTGAAAGCAGCAATCCCAGTGATTCTTATTGCAACTAAGTTTAGGACTTGGCATTCTGAACTAACTATAGTATTTGCAGGCTTATTTTGGTCAAATCAGGCCACAGGCAATTTAAATGTATCCAAATTATCGTGATTGATGTGTTAGATTAAATTTAATTAATTACCTCTCTGACATCATAGAATAAAGTATGTGAAATATGCTATATTTTTACCTTTCTTCTTATTATTGATAGGCTTGTTTTAGTGTTGAAATACTTTACTACTTAGAGTTACAGAATAATTGC